TAGCCTTACAAATACAGGTTGCCCACCCTGGCTGGGTAGCTCAGATGGTTAGAGCTTCACCCCAATACACCAAAGTTGTGGGTTCCATCTCTGGTCAAGGCACATACAAGAAGCAATCAATGAATACATGAATGAATGGAATAACAAATCTCTCTCTCTCTCTCTCATCAATCGACAACATTTTTCAAAAGTTACCCGGCCTAAGGGAATCACTATCCCCAAAGAGGCATATATTGGGATGGCAAACTCTGCTCCCCTTCAACAGGAAGAGGATGCAGGGAATAGAGAGAGTAATGGAGGCTGGCAGATAACCCTTGGAGGTGAGAGTGTCTCAGTAGAGCGAGGAGGACCCAGGAAGGCTCTGCAGGTGGGGAGGAGGACTCAATGGCAAAGGGGACTACTGTGGTCCCCTAGGGTGGGCAGAGCTGGGAAGAAGGGTCGTTTTTAAATATATATATCATTATGCCCAGCCAGTGTGGCTCAGTGGTTGAGCGTTGACCTATGAACCAGGAAGTCAATGTTCAATTCCCAGCCAGGGCACATGCCCAGGCTGCAGACTCAATCCCCAGTAGGGGGCGTGCAGAAGGCAGCCAATCAATGATTCTCTCTCATCACGGATGTTTCTATCTCTCTCCCTCTCCTTTCCTCTCTGAAATCAATAAAAATACATTTTTTTAAAAAGAGAGAAAAAGAAGATTATGTGCTCTCTTGAGGGTTAATACCCCTTCGAGGGATATTACTTCTGGTATTTCAAAGGTGTGTTAACCTAGATCAGTGATGGCGAACCTATGACACGCATGTCAGAGGTGACACTCGAACTCATTTTTTTGGTTGATTTTTCTTTGTTAAATGGCATTTAAATATATAAAATAAATATCAAAAATATAAGTCTTTGTTTTACTATGGTTGCAAATATCAAAAAATTTCTATATGTGACACGGCACCAGAGTTAAGTCAGGGTTTTTCAAAATGCTGACACACGGAGCTCAAAAGGTTCGCCATCACTGACCTAGATGCACAAGAGCAAAGGACAGGGCTGGCTTCAAACCTTCCACTGAAGAAGTGATAGGCCTGGGATGTGACTACCCAGCATGACCTGCCCAGTTGGGCGTTTGTGGTCAGATCTCCCTGTGAGGTTACTTTCCATAGAACCCCATTTTCATCCACAGTATGGACACCACCTTTTGTTTATTCATTCATCTGTTGGTGGACATGTGAATTGTACCTGTTGGAGAAGGGATAATTCTCCCCCTTCTACTCTTTAGTTCTTAATTCTGAACTAGTAATAAAATAATAAAAATTGATACAAGACTAGATTAATAGGATGTTAACAAAAATTCCAAGATGAATTAAAAGAGCGTTTTATTCAGATATGATTTGCAAATCAGGGACGTAGCCCTTGGTGTGAACCAGAGACATGTTCCAATGTGGAGGGGATAAAGCATGGTTTCCAAAGGCAAAGTGCAGGGGCTGCTGATCAAAGAGGCGAGTGGCTTCGGGGAAGACCACAAACTTCCATCACTGGTTCTCTGAGAGGTGGGGGCAACTGCAAAATTCAAGAATCTGCTGACTAAGGGATCCAAAAGTAGGGCTGTGATGCAAGAACAATGGGTAACATGATGAGGCGTTTGTCAGGTCCTAGTTCTGGTTCAGGCCGTAGAGCACAAGTTCTGGGTTATCTATATAATAAAAGCCTAAGTGACCGTTACAGCGGAATGACCAGAACAACCGGTCGCTATGATGCCCACTGACTACCAGGGGGCAGCTCCTGCGTTGAGCGTCTGCCCCCTGGTGGTCAGTGCACTCCCACAGGGGGAGCACCGCTCAGCCAGAAGCCAGGCTCAAGGCTGGCGAGCTCAGCAGTGGTGGTGGGAGCCTCTCCCGCCTCTGCAGCAGCGCTAAGGAGCAGCAAGCAGGCGGGCAGTAAGGAGAGAGGGGTCCCGGACTGCGAGAGGGTGCAGGCCAGGCTGAGGGACCCTCCCCCCTCCCCCCAGTATATGAATTTCATACACTGGGCCTCTAATTTATTTATCAGCAGAAATCAGCGCAGAGAGAGCATTCTGTTGCAGGTGGCAGGAATGGCACCAGGTGTCTGAGTGGTGGGGTCAGACTGGACCTGGGTTCAGCAACCTCGGTACTTGAGTTCTAGCTAGGAAAGAATTCAGAGCCAAGACTCAAACTATAAGAGAACATTTCTTTATAAAATTACAGAGGTAGAAGAAGTAATACATAGAAGAGATGGGCTGAGGAAATGAGTTATGGAGGCAAAGGAAGGGCCCTAGGAGCTAGGGAGTGAGGAAGGTAATGGTAACGTGCCTGAGGGTGGGGGGTGGAGGGTAGGAAAAGCAGAGGCACTGGGAGAAAGCACCGGGTCCCTCCCGTCCTAAAGGCTTTAAGGGTGAAGATTTTAGGGGAAGTCCCAGAGGAGGATCTTAATAGAATATTCGGCAGTTTTCTAGGCGTGTCCTTTGGGGTTGTGGTATCCACTGATTGGCCAGCACCAGGGCAAGGGGTCATTATTCAATGCAGCTGGTCCTGAGGTCGGCCATGGGGTTGCTGGTCTGGTTTTGTTGCTTTTTTGGACCCATAGCCGAAATACAACTGAGGTGTAAATGTTATCTCTAGGGAGAAAAGGTCAAGAGGTTAAGACCACCTGACCATGGATACGCTAGGGGACGAGAGGCCACGCTGGTGGCGAGGTCACACCCTACAGTTCTCCGCTGCTGGGCACTTGTAGCTTTCTGCCCCGGTGACCTTCTGTACCTGGCCCATCACACTGGCTCTGCTCATGTCTGTCTATCACAGTTCTGTGGGCCAATTCCAGGCCCGGGAGCAGAGTCATGCTCTTTAAACAGCCTTGGGGGTCACCCTGCAAAAACCCAGATGAGGATGTTTCGGCTCGGGTAAGTCCTCAAGGAGAAAAACCAGTTTAAAGCATGCGTGCAGGAGAAACACAGTGTGATGCTCAGGTCAGAAAATGAAGCTCAAGAAATGTTCAAACCAGGCACCTTTTTATGTTTTTTGTACAAACACATGTGTGAGAAACTGACAAGACAGAGAAAGTCACTGCTCATTAAAAGGAATGTAAACAGGGCTTGGGCTCGGGCGGGACAGGCTTGTTGACACAGCTCTCATTCCGGATTCCCAGCTGTGATAAGGTTGTGTCCCAGCCCTTGGGATGTTCCCTCCTGCTTTCAGGGACACAGAGGAGAGTCAGGCCTCATCCTGCTCCTGCTGCCTCCCAGGTGACTGCAGTTGGAAATAATCACTAGGTCACCGTGGAATATTGCGGGGTGGCCTGTCCTGGGCCCCGACACGCCTATGGCTGTTATGGATAGTGCTGTTATGAATATGGGGGTGCGATTATGTCTTGAAGAGCCTGCTTTCAGTTCTTTAGGGTTCACACCCAGAGGTAGGATTGTTGGGTGGGAGGAATACTTCTGAACGCTCCTGATCAGAGGAGAGCAGACTCATGCCCATCCAAGGGAGCAGACAACATCATGCCAGGGCACAGGGCCCCACCCCGCCTGCCCTCTGAAGGCACCTGTTACCGGACTGGGTACCTGGCCCAAGCGGGTCTGCCTAGGGCCGACGGGTAGTGTGTGGGTTCTTGAATTCGTGCAAGAAAACTTTCACAACACAAGTCCAGGTGAATTTTAGAGGACGTTTATTAAAGCTGGGGACAATGAAACAAGGAAGGGCTGGGGAAATGAGCTTGGGCTGGGCTGCTTTGGCTCCCTAAGAAGTCAGAGAAAAGGGGGCCTTGGAGATTTTTCTGGGACGAACTGCCACTGCCCCCTGTGGCCCTGGTTGTAAGCCTCCCGGGGTCCCTAAGAGTTTAGGAGCTGCATGCCTGTGGAGAGAGAGGCGGGGAGGCCAGGTGTGGTCCTAGCCAGGCGGGACCTTTGTTTTGAGGGGATTGTAAAGGCTGCGCCTTTAGGAGAGGGCTTAGGGGAGGATCCAAATAGAATATTCGAGAGCTTTAAGTCGATGGGTCAAAATGAGATGGATCCCCTTCACCCAGATGATCCCAGGGTGTGGTTGGCAAATGGCAGTAATTGGATTTCTGCTATCTGTCTCCCAGAGTAGGATGATTTAAGCTATTTACCCTCTGGCTGGGGAGGAGAAGTGCAAACTCCTAAGTGTCCCTGGTTTAGAGAAGATAGGGTTTACTAGATGGCTACAACTGCTGCTTAACTCTCTGTCTCCGTTTGCCTATTCCCTTTTACCTGGCTTACAGGCCTGTCTCTCTCACACATACTGCAAGGCTGGCCCAGCCCAGGGTACTTGGACACACAGACCAGGTTCCCACTCTGTTGTCACCACCACCCCACCCTTTTCCACCAAACAAGACTCTGAGCCCCAGCTCCGGGACACACCCAGTAGTCCAGTGCCTGTGTTGTGGACCAGCGCTCGCGAGAGTAAGACCACCGACTCCAATTAGGTCTAAAACAGCAAGCAAGGATTTATTGAACTGGCCAGTGACTGCCTCGGACTTCTCTACGCAGGGAGCATGCCCAAACAGCAGAGTAAGACCACCGACTCCAATTAGGTCTAAAACAGCAAGCGAGGATTTATTGAAACTGGCCAGTGACTGCCTTGGACCTCTCCATGCAGGGAGCAAGCCCAAACAGCAGCAGCAGCCTTGGGGTCAAGCTGGCTTTTATTTGCACAAACCACAAATATCGATCATAACTGTTACAATGCTCTACAAGCCACAGACATCCTTTTACAATACTCTATTCAGGGTTCTCACACACAGGTGTGCTGACCAGGAACTTCCAGGGCCATGCATGGCCACCCATCCTTAGCCATACCCTTGATCTTGTCAAATTCTCAGAACTCGGAACAGGTCACCTCAACCTTTGCTAAGTCTAAAATTTCCCACTGCTACTTTAAGTTTGCTCTAAGCCTAGTGCACTACACCTGTCCACCTGCCCAGGCCAAGCCTGGTGAAAAGCCACCAGGATGGCAGGACGACATCAGGAAGCCAAACCAGGCCCCTTGCAAGCCCTGTCCTTGCACCCCACCTCCCTCAGCACTCAGAACCGAGCCTGGGCCCAACTGGCTCAAGGAAATACTGAACAGATGAGGTGGACAAAGGAGTGACAGGTGCCCAGGACTGCAGGAGCAGAGCATAGGGGGAGCCCAATCAGGACCCTGTGAATCGTCCTCACCCTGAGGGCACGTGCCTCTTAGGCCCACCCTACCCTGGGGAGATACCTGGGCTTCTCCTTGCTAAGGGCTCCGCCTTTTTCAGGACCCCTGCCCCAAGGCTGTCACACCCAACCAACAGGAGGGGCTGTCTCAGGGTGGCTGCCTGGGGCCCTGGGAGGGACCCAAAGGTTTTTATAGCCAGGGATGAAGGCCTCACCAGATTAAGCCCAAAGATCTTGCCTGCAGCTGGTGCCCTGGTGGCTCAGCCCCATCCAAGTTCCAGCCTCACCAGGTCCCGGACCCTCTGCAGTCCCAGCTCCGATGCCGGCCCACCATCCCACAGGCATGAAGGGAGCCCACGTGCTGCTGCTGCTGCTGCTGGGCCTCAGGATACAGCTCTCCCTCGGATTCATCCCAGGTAAGGGGCCCCTTCCAGTCGGCCCCACACACGGGGCGCTCCCCCAAGGCTGACCTGACCTCCCTCTCCCCTTGGCCAGCTGAGGAGGAAGACCCAGCCTTCTGGAACCACCAGGCAGCCCAGGCTCTGGACACCGCCAAGAAGCTGCAGCCCATCCAAACAGCCGCCAAGAACCTCATTCTCTTCCTGGGGGACGGTGAGTGGTCATGGCATGTTCATTCCCAGAGCCCCACAGTCCTGGTACCCAGGGCTACCTATGGGCACAGCCATGCCTGAGGACTCAGACCTGACAGGGTTCTACTCCTTCAGGGATGGGGGTGCCCACAGTGTCAGCAGCTCGGATACTAAAGGCGCAGAAGAATGGCAAGCTGGGACCTGAGACCCCCCTGGCCATGGACAAATTCCCATTCCTGGCTCTGGCCAAGGTAAGGGCTGGGTGGCCTCAGGGTGCTCCACACCACAGGGGTGGGGTGTGCCTAGGGAGCCTGGTAGGAGGGAAGGCCCCAGGAGGGTTGGGGCCTGAGTTAGGGGCCCAGGGCCTGGTCATGATCTGGGTGTCTGTCCCAGAGAGGAGCTGAGGGTGTCTCTGTCCCCAGACATACAACGTGGACAGACAAGTGCCGGACAGTGCAGGCACGGCCACAGCCTACCTATGTGGTGTCAAGACCAACTACCGGACCATTGGTGTGAGCGCAGCAGCCCGGTACAACCAGTGCAACACAACACATGGCAACGAGGTCATCTCCGTGATGAACCGGGCCAAGAAAGCAGGTGGGCTTGGGGCCAGCCTAGTGGGCAGGGGTCGGGCCCAGAGGGCATGGTGGCTCACCCTGACCTGACCTCCGTCACCCTCAGGGAAGTCAGTGGGGGTGGTGACCTCAACGAGGGTGCAGCATGCCTCGCCAAGCGGCACCTACGCGCACACGGTGAACCGCGAATGGTACTCGGATGCAGACATGCCTGCCCAGGCGCTGAAGGACGGCTGTCGGGACATCGCCACGCAGCTCATCACCAACATGGACATTGATGTGGGTCATGAGGGCAATGGGGACCTGAGCAGAGGAGGTGGGCCCCACGCTGGCCACAGTCCCAGGCAACCCACAGCCTGAGCCCCGGGGCCTGGGGCCTGGCAGTGTCTCTGGGCACTTGGGATGGTGGTGTAGAAGGTACAGGCAAGCCAGGCCTTGCCACAGACCTGGTGGGGGGGACCTAGAGATGGTTTGTTCAGGGGGCCAAGGGCCAGGCAGGCCCCAAGCTCACCTGCCCTACTCCTCTGGCTCCAGGTGATCCTGGGTGGAGGCCGCAAGTACATGTTTCCCAGGGGGACCCCAGACCCTGAGTACCCTGGTGATGCCTCAAAGAGCGGAGTCAGGTTGGACATGCGGGACCTGGTCCGGGAGTGGCAGGCCAAGCACGAGGTGATGGGGGCTCCTGGGGCAGGGGATAGAGCAGGGACAAGGGCAGGGCTGCTGGTTGTAGAGCCGTGGGCTGAGGCCTGGTTCTGTCCCTCCCAGGGTGCCCGGTATGTGTGGAACCGAACAGCGCTCATTCAGGCGTCCCAGGACCCCTCCATAACACACCTCATGGGTAATGACCCACCCCTCCCCCACCTTCCTGCCCTGTCCTCCGGGTCCCTGGACACTCATGTGTGCACAGACCCCACTCCACAGCTGTCAGTCACCCCAGCCCCCTTTCCCACAGGCCTCTTTGAGCCAGGGGACATGAACTATGAGGCCAATCGAGACACCCAGCAGGACCCAAGCCTGAAGGAGATGACAGAGGCCGCCTTGCGCCTGCTGCGCAGGAACCCCCGGGGCTTCTACCTGTTCGTGGAGGGTGAGTGAGTGGCACCCCCTCACGGAGCAGAGGGAGATCAGGATTCAGGGCAGGTTCCCCACCACCCACCCGTGGTCTTTCTGCAGGCGGCCGCATTGATCAAGGTCATCATGCGGGAAGAGCTTACTATGCACTGACAGATGCTGTAGCTTTTGATGACGCCATTGACAGGGCCAGCCAGCTCACAAGCGAGAAGGACACCCTGACCCTTGTCACTGCTGACCACTCTCACGTCTTCACTTTTGGTAGCTACCCTCTGCGTGGCAGCTCCATTTTCGGTAGGTCTGGGGAGAGTGGCAGGTGCCTGTTCCTCGATTAGGAGGCAGAAAATGCTCTGAGCCTCAGTTTGCTCATCTCTTAAATGGGGTCATAATAGCCATAGCCTTGCAGGGTCTTTGCGGAATAAGTCACTGAATAGGCAAGCAGTGCTGGGGCTTAGCACACAGGGGGCGCTGCAGAGCTGTGGTGGTGCCATCACAGGTCCTCCTCTCCCTGCAGGGTTGGCTCCTGAGAAGGCGAAAGATGGCAAGGCCTACACCTCCATCCTTTATGGCAATGGCCCCGGCTTCGCAATCAATGGGGGCTCCCGTCCCAACGTCAGTGACAGCCAGAGTGGTGAGTGCACATCCCGGTGGGCGGGCAGGGTGAC